AGTAGACCACAAGCTGGCCATGAATCAGCCAGTGGAGTTACAGCATTTTTAAAGCATGAGCTTCCGAGAGGAACAGAATGTGGATTCAATTCCTCACCCTGTGTGACCTTTACTGGGGAACGGGGCTTCTCTGTGCCTCAGCTGCCTCTCCTGTAAACTTGGGATGATTACAGTACCTACTTCACAGATCTAGCACGTTAATAGAATAAGCACCATTTCAGTGCTAGCAACTGTTACCAGAAAAGAAAAGAGTCCTGGTAGCAAGCATGCAGATATATTCTTAGCTCTCAGCAAAGTAGGTTATGGTATAAAAATACCATTAAATAGTAACTAAACTAGCATCACCTTAATGCACATCTTGCCAGCAATCTCAGCATGTGTGACTTCTTTTTAAACTACCCTACATTAAGGAATCAAGACCAGGAGGACTCTTGCTGGCCTCCTCCGAGCCAGGCCGGAAGGCAGAAGCCCACCCAACTCATCCCTTCCCCACCTCAGACCAGGCACTGGGGACACAGCCGTGAGCAGGGGACCGGACCTCCATCTCTCTGTGGGTAAGCTGTCCAGCACATCAGATGGGGCAAAGTGCCAGGGAGGAGACAAGTGGGGGGAGGGGCAGGGAGGAGTGGGGAGGCAGAAAACGTGGCGGGGGCAGGGGTTGGGGGGGCATCTGGGACAGCCTGCTGAGCAGCCCAAGGGAGTGAGCTGTGAGGGATGGGGAAGAGAGAGGGCTTGGCCAAGGCCCCTAAGGCAGGGAGTGCCTGTTGTGCTCCAGGGAGGGAGAAAGCAAATACAGTGATCCCTCCTCCTCCATTCCTCTCTTCCCTGGCAACCGGCTCAGAGCTTGGAGACTCAACAATTGATTTGCTCTGAATTTCCTAAGTTTATCTATTAACTACCTAGCAGGCCATTCGCTGGTTCACAGTGCGCCTCTCAGCAGAAGGCATTTGCCAGCTGACAGTGATGCCCCCACCAGCGGTCAGGCCACACACGCCCCGGGACACAGCCTGCTCTCTGGTGACTGGGGTACCACTGGATGGAGTCAAGGACATATCAAGGTCATTCTGGGCCTCTCTGAGGTTCAGTGGAAGAGGTGGGAACGCGGGAGGTGCCCTGGGGTGGAGCTCAGGGCCTTTCTCGCTGCCTAGGCTTGCGCAAGTTGCCAACCTTTCCTGAACTTCAGTTCTTTGTCTGTAAAATGGGGCTGGGGAGAAGGGCCTTTCTGGACAATTCGAATCAAATCAATCAAATCAATAAATCAAACCAAAGGTTTAAAGTAATGCACATATTAGGTGCTATTACAACATGGCCCACAAGCCCTAGTTGCCATCTCCCCCAGAAAAGGACGAGCCCATGAACCCCTGAAATGATTTCCAAAACCTCATGGGAGATGCTTTATTCTAGGGAGAACTCCATGTTTGAAAAGAGACAACTCCCCAAAAATGGAAGATTCACGAGGCTGAATACAGAATGTGAGACCTCTTCCTACCCGACAAATGGTCGACACTGACAACCTGCCAACGTGAGGAACGGCAGGCAGCACCCAGGGAAAGGGTCGCCCCAACGCTGCTGTGCAGGTGGACACAGCAGGGAGAGTGGCGACACCTGTGGAGACAGCCCCACCGCCAGGGACACACCCTATAGAAACTCTCACACCTGCGCCCCAGACACACTCAGGGCGAGGGCCATTATGGTGCTGGCCACCATGTGCTGGGTGACAGCGGAACACAGGAGACAACCTAGATTTCCATCGGGAGGCGGGCAGGCAGGACACAATGTTCACACTACAGGTCACTGCAGCAGCCCGAGATCAAACACATCGACGAGCACAGGTGTCAACAAGACTGTTGAGTGAAACATACAAGTCCCAGGTTTTTTATGTAAAGAAAGGAAAACACACACACAAAAGAATCCTGTGTATTAGTTACGGATACTCATATCCATGTGTAAATGTACCCAAAAGAGCCTGGGAGGAAAAATACAAAAGCAGTAGTTGGATGAAAATGGGTTACTTAATATTCATTTGTAATACTTCTTACAATTTTTTTAAAAAGGACTTAAGGCCAAAATGACAAAAGATTAACCATTTTCAATTCTGGGTAGAAGAGATACTGTGTTCATTTTATTATCCCTGGTTTTTTTCTGGATTTTTAAAGTTTGCCCAATATAAAAAAATTAGAACTGCACTGATGGTTGGGCCATGCCGGGCTAAGGGCTTCCCTGCCTTGCTCTGTAACTGCTCCCAGGCTCCTGTGTCCAGGACACGGGCCACCAGGCTACTGTCTCTGAGCCCGGCCAGGCTAAGCAGGGAAGGGCACACATTCCCAGGAGAGCTGGGCAGGGCAAGGCAGGGCCACAGAAAGCCGCTCGTCTTGGCTGGCTGACCCTGCTACCCAGGCCCCTGGGGAAGATTCGGGAGCAGAGACAAGCAAAAGGATGGGTCAAGGGAGGGGAAAGGCCAGTGGCCTCATCACACATGAGCAGCTTCGGGCCTGAGGCCAAGTCCTTCCTTTGGGAGGGGAGCTCAGTGCCACCTGACTGGGTGCCAAGGGCTGCAGCTTTAAATAAACTTGGACATGTCCACCTGGGGCCAGGAAGCAACACCAACTGTGCCCCGGACAGGCACTGTCAACAACCAGCCAACATGTCCACCAAGAGACCCCAGTGCTGCAAATGGGCTGAGTGCCCACAACTGAGCCCTGGCCTCACACATCCCCCTTGGGCGCCCTGCTCTGCCTTCCCAGTTCCCTGGCACACCTCTATGGCAGCACAGTTGCACCCCCAAAGGATCAGTCCCTTCTCTACCCCAGAGATAACACAGTAGTGCAGTGTCAGGCCCTTGGTGGTCCCCAGGGGCCCGGCGCCTAGCAGGGCTCCACAAAGGTGCACTGGGCTGAGCTGCCTGCTCTTGTCCCAGGCCATGGGGCTCCCCCAATGCCAGGCTCCACTCCTCACCCCGAGCTGCATGGCTGCTGGTGCTTTCGCTCTGGAGGCCACACTCGCTCCCTTCTGGTGGTGGCTCATTCTCAGGCTTCAGAGAGAAGCCCAGCAGTCTCAGTCCTACCTGGTCTCCACCTCTGGAGCCACTTCTCTCAGCCTCCCCCAGGCAGCCCCAGAGACCTCCATTCCCCAGTGTGGGTAGCACTGGCCAGGACATCCAGTTGTGCTGGAATGGGAGGCTCAGCGGGGAGCTGGCCACCCTGTCACTGCTGCTGGATGCAAGTTGGCTTGCAGCAAAGGGGAGAAGGAGCAGCCAGAGTGAGTTGCAGGCTGAGGACACTGGGAGTACTTGGGAAGGTCTTGAAAGTGGCTTCTTCAGAGGAGACCAGGGACACCTGGTGTGAGGGCCTCTATGCTTCTGGGCACAAGCAGAGAAGACGACAAGAAGGCCCCTGAGGAAAGAGTGACTTCCCACTGCTGCTCTCTTCCTCGGAGAGCTAGGCACATTAACTGCCACCCACCTGCCCCACCAACAGCCAGGACACCTCTGGAGGCCAAGAGGACAGATGGGGGTAGATGTGTGATTCTGAGGGGTGGAGACAGGGGAACCAGCCCCCAACTTGGGATCCGAATGAAGGGGGCTGGGCCCGCCCCCTCCCTCGAGGTCTCAGCCCTGGGGTGCTCTCCAGATCCATCCACAAAAGGGTCCCCAAGCCAGCCTGGCCCCCATCCACCCATCCAGCATGGCTTCTTGCACAGGGCTGGGCTCCACACCCGCAACCCCTACCGGATCCTCTCCACACGTGCAGTGAGAAGTGGGGAATGAACACACCCCCACACTCCTCCAGCTCCACACTCCACAATTATCAATGATCAGCGTCCCTCACCCACCACAAGGTTTAACCAGACACTTATTTAGTAAAGGAAAAAAAGGATCTGCTTCTGGATGTGTAAGAGGAAATCTTGCCAGCACCGCCAGCGCCCCCACCGCCTGCACTGAAGGGACGGAGGTGGATGGGGGAGGACGCAGAAGGATGGGGCTCTGGCCCAGTCAGGCTGAAGATTCAGGAGTTCTGAAGCTAGTCGCGGAGACGCCAGGTGCATCCACCTTCATTCTCAGACCGGAGACCCCAGGTCAAACAGGAGGCCCCTGAGGGGCTTCCCATCTCTGACCCGAGGGACAAAGCCGGGACTGGGGACCCAAAACCAGACCTTCGCCCCACACTGCTCATATTGCTGAGCGGAGAACGGGAGCCACGGCACCTGTTCACCGTGAGGCCCCACTTCAAACAAACCTTCGAAGCCCCTTCCCCTTTAGGCCCCTCGTCAACGCTTCAAAATCCAGCCCCCACCCACCTTGATGACCCTGAAATTAGCAACCCAGTCAAGCTCGTAGACTTTCCTCGCATCCCCATGACCTGATCCAGGCTCCCTAACCTCGTCCTTCCCCCACCTCCAAATTCCTGTTTCCAGAAGAATCTGGGGAAAAATCCTTCAGAACCCAGATTCCCCAGGGGACCCATAGCGGCGGCTCTTCCACGCGGGCGCCCCCCGCACGGATGGGGCCACGCGCAGAAGCAGGAGCAAGCAGGTCCCGCCACCCCCGCCCGCCGCTTGGGTGGGGGTGGGGACAGCGCGCCCGCGTCTGGGGACGACCCTCTGGGGCCACAGCGGACCCCTCCCGGCGCTCCAGGCCAGGCGGCCACCCCCGCGCGCCCCTCCTCTCTGACCTCCCCGCCGCCAAATGCGTCACGTCTGCCGGGCGCTCCGGGGACACCTGCTGCCGCCCCCGCCGCGCCAAGTCTCGAGCCCGGAGCCCCGGCCCGGCAGCAGCGCTGGGCAGAGCTGGGCAGGGCCACGCGCGCTGAGGTCCGGCAGCCGGGCCCGGGGCCTGGGGCTCGGGGGTCGGGGCCGCGCCGGGCCGTGTGCTTGGGCCCGGAGCCCAGAGGAACCCGCGGCGCGCGGGGCCGCAGTGCGTCCAGAGCCGGCGGCGCCGAGGGTCCTGGAGGTCCCGGCTCTCTGGGGTCCCCGGCCCAGCCCGCGCGCGCCGCGGCTCTTACTTGCCAATATCCTCGTAGAGCTGGTACTCGTCGGTGAAGCGGGTGCAGGTCACCGTGGTGGCCATGGCGGCGGCGGACGGGCTCGGCGTGCGCTCGGCTGCGCTCGGGCGGCGGCGACTCCGGCTCCCGCTCGCGGGCACGGCGGCGACACGGGCGCGGGCGCGGGAGACACCTCGGCTCGCGGCGCCAGGCGGGGGCCGGGCTGGGCTGCGCCGGGCGGCGAGCGCACGCGAGATCTGCTCGCTCCGTCCCCGCCAGGAGCGCGCCGCACACCTACGCGCGGGGAGGCGCGGGCGCCGCTGTCACCGCCGCCGCCGCCGCCGCCGCGCCCGCCCCGCCCGCCGCCCCCTGCACGCGCCTTCCCCGAGCCCTGCACACGCTGCTCCTGCACCCGCACCCGCACGGCACCCGCACGGCACCCGCGCCCTGCATCTGCACACGCGTCCTGCACACACACCCGTGCCCCGCACCCGCAACGCGCCCGCACCTGCACCTGCACCTGCACACACGCGCGCCCGCCCCCGCCCGCCCCCGCACCCTTCACACACACCCGCGCCCTGTACTGATGCCTTCATCCTGTACCCGCACCACTCCCGCACCTCGTGCACGCAGGCCACTTGGTGCTGGTGACCCCTCACTCTCACATAACACAGAAGAGTGCACACAATGAACGCAGCCTCCTCTCTCCCCTGAAGGCCCACCTCGTCTGACAGCAGGAGGGGACTGGGACCCACAAGGAGGCCGGGGGCCCACGTGCTGCCCTCCACAGGACTCATTCCTCACACCTCCAGGAAGAGATGCTGCCAGATCCCTCTTGCCCAGTCTCCATCAGCCCACACGCCACAAAGGCTGCCTGGCCAGGAGGAGCCGCCCAGAGGTGCACACTGGGACACTAGCATGAGAAAGTGAAAGGGTGGAGCCTGCCATGTCCCCTTGGCCCCAGCCCCTTCCTCCCCCACCACTTCTCCAAAGACTGGTTGCTGTGATGTTTGGAATGGAGGTCCCAGGAGGCGACTCGCAGTCCAGGCCAAGGGACCCTGAGCCAGGGAACAGGGGCTGCTCCATCAGCAATTTGGCGGGCTCTGAGAGCTCAAAGCCACCCTGCCCAGGTAAGGGAATGCGTTCTTTCCTCTTCCAGCATAGTTCACCTGCCTGCTCCCTGCTTTTGCCTAGAGGAAGAGAGCCCATCCACCCAACCCCCTCTTGAAAGTAGACCTGGAGGCCAAGGAGGCAAGTGCAGGGAGGCAGGCAGGAGGCAGGGCCGACCTGGTTTCCCACAAAACAGCTTTTACTGAGGGCTGGCACCAGGGCTGCTGTCCAGAACTGGGACTTCAGACCACTGGGCTCCAACATCCCCACACTCTCCTGACAGGATCTGTCCTGGGCAGGCTCTGAGCCAGGGGTTTCCAGCAGCCCACTCTGGATTTGGGTCATGCTTCTGCCCTGACATGACCTCCTTACTGCTCCCCAAGGACCAGTTCTGGGCCTATCCTGCCATCCCTCTCACCTCATGGCCAGCCCAGGGCAAGCCCCACAAGCCACAATAAATGTTGTGAGGATAAGGGAGGGGATAAAGGGATTCTGAGTGCCAGCAGCCAGGGCGCTTCTGGGCCAGGATGCATTTGGCACAGGACTGCTGGGCAATTAGTAGACCACACAGCAACAAGTCCCTGCCATCGACCAGCCTGCACCCAGAAGACAGCTAGAGGATGAGAAATTCTCAGGCCAAAGGTGAGTGCTGGGTCACCTGTGGAAGTCCCCAGCTGAGGAGGCAAAGGGATCCTGGCCTTGACTTCAGCAAGACCACGGCAGGAAGGGAGACTCCGTCCATGTCAGTCTCGGACTCAGAGAACCCTGAGCCATCCTAACAGAGAAAATGGCATGGGCTCAAGGAAGGACTGAAGGCCAAGTCTGAGGTTTGTTCTTGGAGTTGCGTTTAACCCCACAGGAGTTTCTTCTAGCACCTGCTGGAAGCATCCATGCTTTCCATTTCTGACCTCCGGAAAGACAAAGCAGGGCCACACAATAGATTACAAATCCCAGCACTTTGGGAGGCTGAGATGGGTGAATCACCTGAGGTCAGGAGTTCGAGACCTGCCTGGCCCACATGGTGAAAACTATTTCTACCAAAAATACAAAAATTAGCCAGATGTGGTGGTGCATGCCTATAATCCCAAACAAGAATCGTTTGAACCCAGGAGGCAGAGGTTGCAGTGAGCCAAGATCTCGCCACTGCAGTCCAGCCTGGGTGACAGAGAGAGACCCTGTCTCAAGAAAAAAAGAATACAAATAAGACAAAAGAAAACTGCACCCTCTGTAAGTCGGACTCTTTCCAGGCTACCATGAAGCCATACACACTCCTACTGGCATGTCCGGGAGATAAAGTGGTACTAATGACAGCTGACACTGATCATGCAGTTTACATGTGCTATGTCATTTAATTCTGAAACAATCTTATGAAGCATGTACTATTATTATCCACATTTTACTAGATGAGACAATGGAGAGACAGAGAGGTATAGTAATTTGCCCACAATCACACAGCCACAGAATGACAATGATCAAACCCCAGTGCCCCATAAAACCTCCGTTGCCTTCCACAGACACACACACACACACAAACACAAACACACACCTACACACAAACCCATGCATACAAACAGACCCACTCACACAGCTTTCTGCAACACTGGGTGTGGACACAGCAGCACACCAGGTAGTCTTTTATGAGGTCACCTTTCTTTTTTTTTTGAGATGGAGTCTTGCTCTTGTTGCCCAGGCTGGAGTGCAGTGGTGCAGTCTTAGCTCATTGCAACTGCCACTTCCCAGGCTCAAGCGATTCTCCTGCCTCAGCCTCCCAAGTAACTGGGATTACAGGCACCCGCCACCACGCTCTGCTAATTTTTGTATTTTTAGTAAAGTTAGGGTTTCCCTATGTGGGCCAGGCTGGTTTTGAACTCCTGACCTCAGGTGATCCACCCACCTTAGCCTCCCAAAGTGCTGGGATTACGGGTGTGAGCCACCACACCTGGCCAAGGTCACCTTTCAAAAGGTGAGAAACTGCCCAGATCCAGGGTTACACAAGAACGTGGGAGTCACTAAGAGATGCAATTTGGGATCCATTGTATCTTGCACCTCTCCCTGCCTCTTGTACCTGTTAGCACCTGAGAGCCCGGGCAGTCCCTCCTCAGAGCTGGAACATAAGAGGTATGATGTAGAACCACCCTGGTGAGCGCAGGAAGGTCGGCATGATTGGGCACCAGACAGTGGGGAAGGACTGAGTTATAGCCAGACAGCTTGACCCCACACTGCCACTCAAAAAATAGCCCACTCCCCACCCTCAGACCCAGAGGGCTTCTCCCTAGCAGAAAGAAATGGCTAGAAGGGAGAAAGACTTCCAACCATGACTCTCTGGTCCCAGATTCCAGAAGCCCTCTCGTCTGGCTTTAGCTGTGGTCAGAGAGGTCCAGACTGCCCCTTCTCCCCACCTCTACCTTCAGAAAAGGCCCACTTACACCCCCACCCGCGTGTCATCTCTGCCTTCCACCTTGTCCTTTCTAACTTGCTTTCATAAGCAAGGAGGGCTCCCCTTCCCAGGTGGCAGCTGGGGAGGGTGTGGGGAATATCAGTTCTGGGAGGTTATTGTTAGGACAATCACCATGGCAACAAGCATCACATCTGCAGAGCCAAAAGTGCTGCACATGGGGCTCATTCTCCCAAAGAAAGCCACGCCTCCCCTGTCCCACTCACCTCCAGGGGCTGCTGTCATGTGGGAGGGTGTCACTGCACCTCCTCTCCCAGGCCCAGCCATCTGTCAGGGAGAGCAGGCTGTGGTTCCCAGAGTGGGAAGGCCCTAGTCCATCCATCTCTCATCATCTGGCTCTTAACATGGCAGCCCACACAGGACACAGTGGAGTGGCTATGGTGGTGATGGTGATGATAATGATGGTAATGGTTATCATTGGTGGTGGTGGTGATAATGATAATGATGGTAACAGTGGTACTGGTGGTACCACCACAGAGTGATGGTGGTGATGACAAGGATGGTGGTGATGGTGATGGTGGTAATGGTGGTGGTGATTATGATGGTGGTGGTGTTGGTGATGGTAGTGATAGTGATGGTGGTGATGGTGATGGTGATAAGGATGGTGGCAATGGTGGTAATGGTGGTGGTGATTATGATGGTGGTGGTGTTGGTGATGGTAGTGATAGTGATGGTGGTAGTGATTATGATGGTGGTGGTGTTGGTGATGGTAGTGATAGTGATGGTGGTGATGGTGATGGTGATAAGGATGGTGGCGATGGTGGTAATGGTGGTGGTGATTATGATGGTGGTGGTGTTGGTGATGGTAGTGATAGTGATGGTGGTGATGGTGATGGTGATAAGGATGGTGGCGATGGTGGTAATGGTGGTGGTGATTATGATGGTGGTGGTGTTGGTGATGGTAGTGATAGTGATGGTGGTAGTGATTATGATGGTGGTGGTGTTGGTGATGGTAGTGATAGTGATGGTGGTGATGGTGATGGTGATAAGGATGGTGGCGATGGTGGTAATGGTGGTGGTGATTATGATGGTGGTGGTGTTGGTGATGGTAGTGATAGTGATGGTGGTGATGGTGATGGTGATAAGGATGGTGGCGATGGTGGTAATGGTGGTGGTGATTATGATGGTGGTGTTGGTGATGGTAGTGATAGTGATGGTGGTGATGGTGTTGGTGGTGGTGATAAGGATGGTGGTGATGGTGGTAATGGTGGTGATTATGATGATGGTGGTGATGGTGATGGTAGTGATAGTGATGGTGGTGGTGTTGGTGGTGGTGGTAATGGTGGTGGTGGTGATGGTAGTGATAATGATAGTGTTGGTGATGATGATGGTGGAGGTGATAGTGATGGTGGTGATGATGGTGGTGGTGATAGTGATGGTGGTGATGATTATGGTGGTGGTGATAGTGATGGTGGTGGTGGTGGTGATAGTGATGGTGGTGATGATGGTGGTGGTGATAGTGATGGTGGTGATGGTGGTAGGGACGGTGGTGGTGGTGACAGTGTTGGTGGTAATGGTGGTGGTGGTGATAGTGATGGTGGTGGTGATAGTGATGGTGGTGATGGTGGTGGTGATAGTGATGGTGGTGATGATTATGGTGTTGGTGATAGTGATGGTGGTGATGATGGTGGTGATGGTGGTAGGGATGGTGGTGGTGGTGACAGTGTTTGTGGCAATAGTGGTGGTGGTGATAGTGGTGGTGATGATGGTGGTGGTGGTGAAGTGATGGTGGTGATAGTGATGGTGGTGGTGATAGTGGTGGTGGTGATAGTGATGGTGGTGGTGATAGTGGTGATGGTGATAGTGATGGTGGTGATAGTGATGGTGGTGATGGTGGTGGTGAGTGATGGTGGTGATGA